TTTAAATTTCTAAATTTATAATTTATCCCTTGAGTAAATAAAAACTATCAAAATGGATATAAAATTAACTAAAAATCTCTCTCTAACTAGGAAATCAGACCTAACAACTACTCTATTCTTTATGAGAGAAATGTGTTGGGACTTGTAGGGGTATGGGAATGGATGTAACTTGTGGCCCAGAGGTTTATGCTGAGTCAGTTCCACGTGGGGAGGATGGGTTTTTGCTAATTATGAATTGTGTAAGCTAGTAAATGATTTCATTGGACAATATTAAATATTGATGATATATGCACAAGGTTTTCGCAATTTAAAAATAGAAAAATACTATATATCACAAATTTACATTTCAAATAAAGGAGGACCGTTGGATGAGTGGGTCCTATTAATTTTTTTAAATGAGACCCACTCATTTAATAGTTTCCCTTTATTTAAGATGCAAATTTAAGTTATAAATTTGAGATACATAGTATTACTCTAAAAATATTAGATTCAAACCTGTGATATATCGAGTAAACACTTACTACCGCTTGTTATAAATTTAATATATGGGTGGACAATAAAAGGTGGAGAATAATTGGTATGTGAAAGGGTAATAACCTAACCTGTTCTCCTTTGATCAATTATACTCAAATTTCTGATTGCTTTGTTGCTTTTAATTTGTTTAATCTACCAAATTAGTGGTTGGGGTTAGAGTAAGATTATTATATAAATTACTTTTTAAATGAAGATAATAACAAAAAAGTGCACTTTCAGGTTGAAAAAAAGTTGAATCTTGAAAGGGATTGCTTGGTCTCACCCATTATACTAAAAATTAAACAGGCCATTAAAATTTTATTTATTTGGATAAGATGATTTTTTTTTTTTTTTGGCTATTTAAAAGGATGTTAAGTGGTTACCAAGTGTAGCAACTTTACATAATGGTTTTTTAGACTTTTCACCCGTTGTGGAATATTTGATTTGAACCATAGCTATCAATCTGGGATGGTTGAACCCGTCACTACAGCATTACTGAGGGTAACTTGGATATTCGGTCCCTCCAACAGTATCTGGTTCACAAGGACTACTATTACAAATGAATTCGAACCCATGATCACTGAAAAAAGATGGAACTTTCAAGCCTAAGATAAATTTAAGTGAAGTTTATATGAGATCAGAATGATTGAGACAGTTAACTTGTGTCACATTTAAGTGGTATACCATATGAAACAATAGTGAAACTTATAAATCTTTGAAGATCCTAACCCCCTCCAACCCCTTTTTTTTATTTCCTAATTTAAATCTATCATCAAATCAATGGGTTCCACCTGGATAGGAGAAGGTAGGCGATTCAAATTGAAAACAAAAATATTGAGGATTCTTCAAATTGACAAGATCTAAAACCATGGTCATAAAATTGCTCAAAATGTGGAGCAACAAGCTAACAAAACTTGTCAAAATAGATATAAAATGAATTAAAAATCTTTCTCTAACTACCAAATCAGACCTACCAAATAATTTTAGTATGTGTTGGGCCTTGTAGGAGAATGAATATGAATAAAATAATGTGGCCTAGAGGTTTATGTTGAGTCATCTCCACATGGAGAGGAGTGGATTTTTGCTAATTATGAATCATGTAAGTTAGAGAGAATGACTTTATTAGATTGGACAATGGACTTGTATGGACTTGACTTTTTTAAGTAAAAATTTGCATTTTAAAAAGTTACATAAAAAATCAGAGTTAAAAAAGTCTCTAAAATTATTTGAAGTGTTGTTTAAGAAGCTAAAAAAAATCTAAAAAATCTATTTGAAGTGACTTTCTAGTTTTTTGTGTCAAAATAAAAAAAATAATTACATATATGTATAGATTATGTATAATAGTTCCTAAAATATGAATTTTAAATTTTTTTATGTCACCAATAATATTTTATGACTCTAATAAATTAAAAAATTATGTGGGATTCGTAACAAAATTTTAAAAAGTCAGAAGAAAAGTTTATAAAATCAACTTTTTGAATTAGCCTAAATAAGTCATTTGGGTCTAAAAAATTGCTGTATAAGTTAATAAAAAAAACCAAGATCCATACAGACATGACTTATTTTACTCCAAATCCCTTAAAAACTACTTATTTAAGTTAGCTCTAAATAAGCTCAATATTTAAGGATAAAAAAAGGTGATATATATAATGCATAAGATTATTGCTCATCACCCAATAAAAATTATTGAATTTAAAATCGAAATGTATCATTTTGGTAGATAATCACATTCTATGACTTTGTATTAGCGTTCAGAGAAATAATATAAACTAAAGAATAATAGATCACACAAAATTAGTGAAAAAAAGAGACAGCCTAACATATTCCCATTTGATTAATTAGGTTCATAATTCATTTTATTTTGTCACTTTTAATTAGTTTAATCTATATGATTAGTGGTTGGGGCAGAGTAAGATTTATAAACCACTTTTCAAATTAAAATAACAACAAAAAGTGCATTTTCAGTGAAAGAAAATGTGAATGTTCAAAGGGATTCCCTCCCCCCCAAACCAAATTTATAGTAACAATCAAACCGGCCATAAACATTTTATTGATTTGGATAAGGTGAATTTAAGAATTTTTATATGAACCAAGAAAGATTGGTTTGTGTGGGAGAGTTTTTTTTTCTTCTCTAATAATCGAATTTTTTTTTTCTAATCTGGTCGAAGGCAAATTGTTCATATCAGAATTAAGATATTCATGAGAGATAAATCTCTTATAACTTGATTTTAAAAAGTTGCAAATATTTAAACTCAAAAAATATGAATTTACAATTTATTTTGATTACCGCTTGAGTTATCCTGAAAATTCGTTGGATTAATCTGATTGAAGAAATCACTTATAACTTTGTCATATTTGAATGGTACATGGGACCCTGGTTTAAATTGATGAGCATAAACATCAGGTAGTCATTAGGAGGACAATCTCATACCAAAAAAGGTAAGTACAAGCGTATGAAAGTGAAAAATATATTAATTATCCATTATCCATAACCATATATTCCAAGATTAGCCAAGTGGTTCTTTTTATTATATACATTTTTTTCAGGCCAAGTGGCAGACATATAAAAAGAGACCTCAAGGGAAGTGGCTCTTTGAGACATTTCACAACCTTGTTTTGAGAGCGTGGCGTCACATCTTCATGCACTTGAGATTTGAAATTTAGGCATGACAGGTATGTATTTGGTTTACTCGTTGAAATTAAATTTATTCTTTGTTCGTCAGAGTACGAGATGGAACTTTAGTTTCAACCTCACCTAAATGCAGTAGAATTCCTTGTACATAATTATATGGTGTTGAAAGAACAATATTCTGTGACAGATATATAGAGTCACTTATTTACGTATTTATTTTAAACACTTAAAAAAAAAATGATTTGTGATTTTATGAAATTTATTGAAATAAAATTAAAATTAAAAATCTAATTTGTTTCTTAAAGATTCATAGTTTGTATACAATTATACTATTTATTAGAATTTAATTTGGTCGTCTAAACCACCAAATTAAACTATTAAATTATTCAAATTAAAGGTAGAAGGTATTGTATCTATTATAGTTTGACTTCTTATTTAATTTTTAGTTTTATGCCAATAAATAGTATAATTATATATCAATTATAATTTTTTTTAAAAAATTAAATTTTTATTTTTAGTTTTATTTTAATAAATGTCATAAAGAATATAAATTTTGATTGTAAAATTTATGTTCTATTATGAATGACTTAGACTACTTGTTTGATTTTTTACTTTTATACTAATAGATAATATAATTGTATATTAAATTTTGATTTTTAAAAAAAATTACTTTTTTATTTTTGATTTTATTTTAATAAATGATACAATAGAACATCAATTTTAGTTATAAAATTTAAAATATTGATATTTTTATTTTTGATTGAAATATTTTTGGTCTAAGTATAATATTTTAATTTTAAAAGGTCTAAGTATTATGTTCTTATAAATATCAAGGGATCTGAATATAATTTACTAACGAATATATTGACTAATATTAACTATAAAAGTTTAATTGTTATACATGTACAAACTTTAGAAGGTTTGCATATACTATTTTAAAAGTAATTAAACAACAAACTTTAAAAAATGGGGATGAAATGCTCGCAATAATTATTGACAATCCTTTTTCCAAACTCCAAAGACATGAAATAAACATATAAATGGATAATTATACTCAAATCGCGAGATTCACGCTCTAAGCAAGCGTGGAAGGAAAATTTGTCATTCCACGTGTACTGGATAAGTACCTACTCTCTTCCACGTCAAAAGATGCAACAAAATAAAGGGTGAATTACACTTTACAGCCAAAATATTAAAAAAAATTTAATTAACACCTCCAATGATTAATTTTCTCACCTTACAAGCTCAATGCCATGAAATAGTTGCACTTTGGCCTTCACATTAGCATATGTCGTCGCTTTTGTCAAATCTTTTTGCATTTAGTGTGGGAACCACATACCAGATTAGATAGAATTTATAACGAAAATTAGTGTGAATGCCACAAATTAGGCTCGTCAATTATATTGTGTTTAATGAGGCGAGTTTGTCTTAGAATTTGTGTTAAAAAAATTTGTATTTATACCTGATTCATTTATTAACTTTTGTCTATCGAATTGTATTATATCGAGTTTATATTGTGTATAAATCATGTATGATTAATATATAAATGAATCGTATCATATATTTATTTTGATTGACTTTACTTTTATTCGATTCATTTATTAATTGTACCATGTCGAGTCTACTGATGGAGACATAAACCCTTTAATTTTTGTATTGTGTAAAAAAGTTGTGTAATATTTTAACACTTCGAGCCACAATTGCAGCCATTTTTATTACATTGAGGGTGCAACAAATGTGAAAAAATTAATTATTGAGAAAATTGAAAATTTTAAAATCTTTTGGGGTATAAAATGTGATTTATCTCAAAACAAACTATAAAAACGACCCACTTTCTGTCTCTCTGTGCCCCCCGCTCCCCTCTCCGGATCTCTCTCTGGCGTCCATGGACTTGTACGTTTACCAACTGAAGAAAACACCATGACTCTTTAACTTTCTCTCTCTAAAAACATCACTAATCGATCGTTCATGGGCGCTAATTTATCTTCAATTCAATCGGAGTCCGATGGGCAGAGCCAGAAACATAAACTCGGCGATATACCGGAGAGCTGCGTGGCTTTAGTTCTCTCCTACTTCGACCCGCCGGAGATCTGCAAACTGGCTGGACTCAACAGGACCTTTCGGGCTGCTTCGTTGGCCGATTTCATTTGGGAGTCCAAATTGCCCTCCAATTATAGGTTTATTATCGAGAAATTGCTCGACGACGACAACTTGTGTAAGTTGGACAAGAAAGACCTTTATGCTAGGCTTTGTCGACCCAATTCATTCGACGGTGGCACAAAGGTTTGAATTTCACCTTCTCTCTCTAAACTCCTCACTTTTCTCTCTTTCCATAATGTGTATATATTTCAGTTTTGTTGATGTTATTTATTGGGTCTTTTTTTATAGGAAATTTGGCTGGACAAGAGGACAGGAGGGGTTTGCTTGTTGATTTCATCCAAGGCGTTGACAATCACGGGGATCGATGATCGGAGATATTGGAATCACATTCCAACTGATGAATCTAGGTGAGTTATCTATAAGAATTTTGATACAGATACACAAAAGTTCATATACAATACTGTGAGGAATTTAGTACTCTAGCTTCAGATTATGATAGAGATTAAAATTTTAAATTTATTGGCATGTCAAGCTATTGATTTATCTATAGCTTTACACTATTATTTTACTGTGATTTTGATTAGATTAGAAGGGTAAGAGAGATGCGATTGCGTGAGTAGTTTGTGTTGTTCTTGGAGGAATTGAAGGGGTTTTGATCAATTAAGGGGATTGATCAGTATGTGTGCAATGAAACTATGTTCATAAATAATGTTATTTATTTATTTATCTTTCGTAAATCACAACGATGCTGCACTACTTGGGGAAGGGGAACCGGGGATGGGGAGTCGAAGAACCGACCTGCCACTGTTCAAGTGGAGTGCTTTACTGACTGGATAGACCCGCAGGCCTCATAAATAACGTTAGTTAAGTGGATGATTTATTGTTTGTGTAGGAGAAGAAGACAAATTTTAGTTGAGTGATACGAGTAATTATATAAGTCTATGACTTTCATAGTGAAATTGTTGGTTAATATATAGCTAGTCATATTATATACATTTCTGGGTTCGGAATTTCAAGAAAACAGGGTTTTGTTCCATTTGCATTTGGCCCGTTATTAGTAATTCAGTTTGATTGTTTTTGAAGTAAAACTTAACCTTTACTGCTTAGTTGGCTATTCGATTCAGTTCTCCATTCATCATTTTTGTTCTCACCTGGTAAATTGGTTGTACCCTTCATGTCAGATCTTCTATGCTCCTATTGGATTTTGAACCAACCGATTACATGTTCATCTCTTTGTTAAAAAATATCCAATACGTTTTCCCTTTGCAAAAATTGTGACGACTTAGGCTTGTATTAAATTTACCCATGCAAGGTGGTTGCGTCGGCGCAACCAGTAACATCTACTTGTTATGGAATTGTTCAGCTCCAACTTGGCAGGCAATATTTTCTGCTTAATTTGAACATGTGTTAATGTTAAAAAGAGTCTTTTCTCTTACAAATGGTTTCGAAACATATCTTGCTATTCACCTAATCTTAATTATTTGGGAATTTTGCTCGCATTGCTTCAATGTCATTTTAAGATTAAAATGCAGCGTATATGATGTTTAATAGATTCGATCTTGTCGGCATTTAGATTGTGAAATGGAACGAGCTTATTCAATTCTTCGTCACTTTTGTAGGTTCCACACTGTTGCATACCTTCAACAAATCTGGTGGGTTGAAATAGATGGAGACTTTGAGTTCCAGTTTCCAGTAGGGACATACAGCCTGTTGTTCAGACTGCAGCTCGGAAAGGTCACCAAGAGATTAGGCCGTCGGGTCTGTAACTCGGAGAATATACATGGTTGGGATATAAAACCTGTACAGTTACAGCTCACAACACTAGATGGTCAGCATGCTATGTTCCGTTGTTATCTGGACAATCCAGGGATCTGGATGTACTATCACGCTGGAGATTTTGTTGTAGAAGAGCCCAACGCATTGACAAAGATCAGATTTTCTTTGACCCAGATTGATTGCACTCATACTAAAGGTGGTCTCTGTGTGGATTCTGTTCTGCTATGCCCCAGTAGTTTAGGAAATGAGTTCAGATCTTCATTGTAGGTGGTGAGAATTGTAAAATAGCATCGTACAGGCCCCCATAGCAGTGATGCACCCTCCGAAAGCAAACAGATTGAGTGCAGGTTTGTTTTTGTGGCAGATAATGTTTTTGTTTTGTTAAAGCAGTCAGTAGTTTTGTTTCCTTTTTTTTTTTGGGTTCTAAATTTTGTATTTTTTGTCGGCTGGTTTGAACCTGATGATGATCTTGTCTTGTGAGAAGTTTTCTTGTACATGTATTTCAGGAAATGAGATGTTTGATTTTGAGTTGTTAGCATCTGAGTTTCGTTTGGTGTCCCTCTTTCTTGTTTGTGCTTCTACTCTTGCTTTTTGTATATTATATATCGCTTCATAGATTTCCGTCTTTCTGTTACACGACAGCATCACGGTTGCTTGCTTATAATCTCTCGGATTCCTAGATATGATGGTAATTTATACAAATGATGGGAATGAACTCGAATCAACAGGCTTACTTTTTAAACTTAATTTTGGAGCCTATTGGTTTGATATCTGTGAGCATACCATTGCCTCGTTGTTTCACTCAAAAGATGATGGATGTGTAGTTGTTCCTTACTATATTTCTTCTTAAGTCAGAAAGACCCCATGTAGGCAGAGAGAGACCCACAAGGCCAAACACACTTAGGCAGAGAGGGACCCACAAGGCCACACCATCCAAGTAATTACTAACTGGAGGGGAGCAGAGTACCTTGAAGTGTTGAGCAACGGATGTGGGACAAAGATTTTTTGTTTTTTTGGTCAGATAGACAAATAAACACACACACACACACACAATCCACACAGCAGTTACAAAGCGTGTTGAGCAACCGATGTGGGACAAAGACTTTTTGTGTTTTTTGGTCAGATAGACAAATAAACAAACACACACACACAATCCACACATCAGTTACAAAGCTCATACACATGTAGGCAGAGAGGAACCCACAAGGCCACACCATCCAGGCAATTACTGACCGGAGGGAAGCAGAGTAGGCCACTTATACTCGCGCCTTGAAGTGCTGAGCAACTGATGCGGGACAAAGACTTTTTTGTTTTTTTTGATACCAAGCCTCGAAAGGAGTATTTTCTCTTTGTCCAGAAGCATGATTAAAAGGGCGTCTTCTCCAGCGGCCTTCCAACAACGTCGATGAATTCTTCCTTTTGTCGAGGATTTGGTCCAATAATTACTGTAATATTGGAATAGAACGGGTAGATATTCTCTTGTCTTTATTTTGAAAATTTTGTAATTTCCAATATTTGATAGTGAAATTTTGTCATTGCGCTTCACTCGTGGACGTAAGCTTGCTTATTGAACTGAATCACGTAATTTTGTGTGTTTTATTTTTCTATGTTGTTTGGTTTTATTTTGTTTGTGTTCTTGGTTCATAACACAATTTCAATGGAATTAAGTTAAACTATCGAATCAAGTGCTTTAGACTTTGAAATACATTGGCGTTCCATTTGCTTTCTCAATCTCTTGTGCTTAATACCAATTCCAGGCTAGAGGGACTTCCCGTTCAAGATTGCTTAATACCAATTCCAGGCGCTAGAGGAGCTAACCGTTCAAGTAGGCGATTGGTCAATATCGCTGGTGGTCTCCCGGGAAATATGGAAGTGTTGAATAAGCTACTGAATCGGAATCAATATTGGCACTCATTACAAAGTAAAAAAATAAAAGTACAATCTCACAATATACAAGCAATTTACGTAGTTCGACTAAAACCTTTGTCTGAGATAACAATAATCAATTTTTTTTATAAAATAAAAATATAAATATAAAAATAATTATTTCAAACCATTCAAACAAAAGAGCATCGGATGAGTTTAAAACACCCGATGCTTGAATTTACTCGAGACTTGGATGCCTCTGCCTTGCCAAAATGACAAACCAGCAGCAGCCCATGCTGAATGGGTTAGACTAGTGTTTGACATTTATAATACATTAATTAATATTTTTTGTTTGTATTGACACAAACACGATACGACTTAAAAATAATAACACATAAATGACATAATACGACATGAATTAACATGCCTACTGAACTTAACGTATATACATTGCTTGATATGTTTATGTTTTAATCTATCTAATATTATAGTTCAGAAGTTAATTTTTTAATTTATAAAATCATAACAATTAGGGGTGACAAATGGGTGAGTTAGGTTGTGTTAAATTGGAATGGAGTAAAATAAATCAAATTCATTTTTCATTCACCTAGTAAATTGGTTATAATTAGTTGAATTTATAATGGGTTGAGTTAAACTGATTAACCCATAAAATAATTAAAATTTTTAATAGACACATTAGTACACCAAAACACACACAAACTAATACATTAAAAATATACACACTAATACACTAAAATACATACTAATACACCAAAAATACACACATATACTAACACAAAAACTAAAACATATTTAATAAAAAAAATACACACATAATGGGTCGGGGTCAATTGTGGACTGTGGGTTAGTTTGTCGGTTGTGGGCCATGGGTCTATCCATGGGCTATGAGGCAACCCATGGGTTATGGGTCAATCCATGGGTTATGGGTAATGTATTAGTGTGTATATTTTTGGTGTACTAGTGTGTGTATATTTTGGTGTATTATTGTATATGTGTATACTTTTTGGTGTAATAGTGTGTGTATTTTTTAATATATTTATTTAATTTTATTACTTGTGTTATTTAATAAAAAGATAAAACTCAACCCAGTGGGTACCCATTTGTAATCCATATTAAACCCTTTAATTAAAATGAATCATATTACCCAACCCATTTAAAATTCATATTAATTAATATAGGTATCCAACCCATTTATTTATGGGCGGATTGGACGGATTAATAGGTAATGAGTTAAGATTGTCACCTCTAACAACAACAGCAAAAAGCAATCTAATTTTTATCTACACCAAAATATACACACTTTCTACGCACGCCCATTAATATCAGACAAACTCATGACTTTTGATGTGATATTATAAGAAGAGTAATAATATTTGGACACTAGGATTTGAACAAACTGGCTGGCTTGCAGGTGTACAAAATTTATGCGACTGTAGAAAAATCAAAGAAGCAACAATCGACGTTTGGACAACATCGGGTTAGAAGTGGACTTCACTAGCTCATCGGTTAAATTTTTAATAACTACAAACTATTCAGGCTTGTGTCGACTATTCTTTTAAAGTTAGATATTAATTACTGTAACTTAAGTGGGTTTAAACCTTATCTTCTGAGCAATAGGGGTGACCGAATCTTTACGAAGTGTTCAACTTGAAATTTATGGGTTACCAAAAATCAAATTCCGCCTCCCAACCACCCTCAGGTTTAGTTGAAATTCCTTATCAATACAACGAGCCTGTCATTCTCTTACTAATGTTTGTGGGTGTTGAGAGTATGTCATAGCAGGTCGCACGTTGACTGGAGATGACCAAGCCGACTTCTGTCTCTCCTTTATTGCTGGAAGGAGTCGTCGTGGTTGGAGACCGATTCAAGTCCTTGTACTAGTTCAAGGGCCGACTCGATCTCTCTTTTGCTTCTTATTTTGATTGCGTGCCTGCGCTAGAGGGGCTACCCGTTCAAGTAGGCCATTGGTGAATATTTCTGATCTGTCGGAGAAATATTAAGTGTTACCTAAATTATTCGAGAATCGAATCAAATCGAAATTAATATTAACACTAATAATAAAGTCAAAAAAAAAAATAATTACACAATACACAAATAATTTACTTAATTCGATTAATAGCTTACGTTCACGATGATAATGATCGGAGAATTTGCCGACTCCAATGTGCAACCACTATCATTTATCTCATATGTGCACCCATTGAAAAGTAACCCCTGATCTTATGCGCAAAATAATTTTCAAACCACGTGAATTTGGTAAAAACACCAATCATATATATTTGAAAATGGGTTTCAATTCGGCACAATCTATCTGACTCAGTCACCACCTGTCAGAACAAGAAATTTCAACCATGAAAATTTCAATAACCCCTTAAACTAAATAATCTTTGATTATTTCTAAGGGAGCAGTACTTGAAGTAGCATATATAGCCGAGGTTTTCTCATGTTCTACACACAAAAACCAATAACAAGAGTCATGAAGAAGATGATTAGCCCAATGGCTTCTTGCCTTTCACTTGCTTTCGTTTTTCTCTTCTCAATTTTATCATCAGCAGCTTCATCACCTGATACCACTAAAGGTTTCCTTCCGTGTCTCTCTAGCCAGATACATAACTCCACTCAAGTTGTGTACACACCAACAAGCCCTTCCTACTTATCCATTTTGCAATTTTCCATACAAAACCTAAGATTCTCTGGGCCTAGCACTCCACGACCTTTAGCCATAATCACACCATTGCAAGAGTATCATGTTCAAGCAGCTATACACTGTTGTAAAAAACATGAAATAGAGATAAGAGTTCGCAGTGGTGGACATGACTATGAAGGCTTTTCTTACGTTGCTAAGGTACCATTTGCCATCCTTGATCTATTTAACTTGCGATCAGTCAACGTCAATGTTGAAGAAAAAATGGCGTGGGTTCAAGCTGGTGCAACTCTAGGTGAACTTTATTACAATATTCTAAACAAGAGCAAAACACTTGCCTTTCCAGCAGGCACTTCCCCTTCCATTGGTGTCGGCGGCCACATTAGTGGGGGAGGATTTGGTGTAATCCTACGTAAATTTGGCCTTGCTATTGATCATGTTATTGATGCTCGAATAGTTGATGTCAATGGTAGAATTCTTGATAGAAAATCAATGGGGGAAGACCTCTTTTGGGCTATAAGAGGAGGTGGAGGTGCTAGTTTTGGTGTCATTTTGGCATGGAAACTAAACTTAGTTACCGTACCAGAGATTGTGACTTTTTGCAGGCTAAATAGACCATTGGAAAACAATGCAACCAAGGTTGTGCATCAATGGCAATCTATAGCCGACAAGGTTGACGAAAATCTTTTTATGAGAGTCTTCATTAGGCTCGAAAATTCTAGTCAAGTTGGAAACAAAACAGTAGATGTTTTGTTCACTACAACATTCCTTGGTGGCATTAATAGATTACTTTCTTTGATGGGAAAAGTGTTTCCAGAGTTAGGTTTGACGAGAGGAAACTGTCAGGAAGTGAGCTGGATCGATGCATTCCTCTTTTATGAAGCTTTAAATCCCGATCCACTTGAAATATTGCTGAATAGGAATTACACCTATAAAGGAAACTTTAAAGTAAAGACGGATTACGTGAAAACGCCCCTTTCTGAAAGTGCACTCGAAGGAATATGGGAAAGGTTGAAGGAAGAAGAAGTTGATGTTCCTTTTTTGGAGTTGACTCCTTATGGTGGAAAAATGAGCGAGATTTCAGAATCTGCAACCCCTTTCCCCCACAGAGCCGGAAACATATACCAAATTGAATACCGAATGCGATGGACGGAAGCAGGGACAACAGTTTCAAGAAGACATATCAATTGGCTCCGAAGGCTGTACAATTATATGGCTCCCTATGTTTCAAAAAATCCGAGAGAAGCGTATATCAATTATAGGGATACAGATATAGGAGTAAATGATGACAAGACGAGTTATTTCCAAGCAAGCATTTGGGGTAGGAAATACTTCAAGAACAACTTCAACAGATTGGTGCATGTGAAGACCTTAGTTGATCCCAATAATTTCTTCAGAAATGAGCAGAGTATTCCATCTATCATCTAGGAAATTGATAATCACTTTCAAGACGGAGAAGACTATATGGTAATTTAGGATCATTTCAAATTTAATAAAATTCAATTATCTATTATTATATTCATTTTGGCCTTACTAGTAGGTTTCTACGTCAATCATACTGCCTCCCATAAGGCCAAGTGTATTCAGCAGTAAAATATTGAACTTGTTTAGAATCTAAAAGTTTTTGTATTGTAGAGCATAAGGGTGCATTATATGTACTATTATGTAATAAGTTGTAATGCAAATGATGTTTTGGATAAATTGTGCTTTCTTTTATTACTTGGTCTACTACTTGTGTCATTAAGAGTTACCATACAAACTCATTAACTTTTTTGGAGAGGGGAGAGGAGAGGAGAGGAGAGTTGAATATATAACCTATATAAGCATTTGCTTGTACACTCACTCATGTTCACTTGAAAACACAAAATATACCAAAAAAACGAAGGAACAATATTTAGTTTTGAATCACTAGTATGATATTTTGTAAATAATATGGCATGTGAAAATTAAATTATGATATATAGTTCATTTTCTAATCTGCAAAAACCTAGGAAGATTATAATTACAACATATTTCATGGTACATTAATATAAAGTGCCGCAACGCAAAACGTGCTAGCATACAAAAAACTATGGGAGGAAAGACAATATCCATTATAACTTGATCCAAAAATTATAATTTTTTTTTTGTTTATAAAAAAATACCAAATCTTGCATCAAAACCCACAAAAATTATAAAATTTTAAAGGTACGATACTACATTTTTTTTTGTAGTTTTGTCCTTACCTAATATATAGCAATTCCAGCCTTCTCGGCACTAGAGGACTATCCGTTCAAGTAGGCGACTACTCAATATCTGTAGTCTACCGGAGAAACATTGAAATGCTCTATAAATTACTCAGCAATTCAATTAGGATCGATATTAGCATTCACAATAGAGTGAAAAAATAAAAAAATAATCATACAAGAAAATTAATTTACGTGATTCGACTAATAGCCTACGTCCAGGATGACAATAATCATAGAGTTTTACTAGAAAATAAAAACAAGAGAACAATAACAATTGTTCTACGTCACAAATACTCACTCCAACAAAAGAATATTACTATGATATATTATCTCTAACAAAACCCTCACACTCAGATGATTTTTAAACACCCCAGTGCTTGAATTCACTCAAAAGACTTGGATGCCTCTGCCTTGCCCCGTGGTGCTGTACACCCCCTTTTATAGGGGAAAAACTTGGCAAAATGACAAACCAACAGGCAGCCGCCCATGTTTTCTTTGCAAAATAGCTGGCTGCCCATAATTTATCCCAGCACCTTAGTTACATAATACTTCTAAATACTAAACGCTCAGGTGCTCTGCACCCGAATTTGCACTCTGGAAGTTAATTCTCCGTGACTTTACGCTCTCAATTTACAAAATAAGTGAATTTAATTTTTCAACTTGTGAACTTGACTAATTTTTCGCTCTTACTTACTTATATGATTACTTATTATTATTTAAATTTTTATTTGCTAGGTACTGAGTCATGCTTAAAAATACATCTCAAACTAGAATAATATTTATAAACCATAATTATCATTTTAGGACCTCATTGTCAACATATAATTAAAATTTAAATAATTTATCATATAGTTGTCAATGATACTTGCTGACTTCTCTCTAGAATTTCTTCTTAAATTTTCTTGATTTCTTCTACTTTTCTTGATTCTCTTGTTAATCTGATTGTGTTGTAATTGTTGATCATGAATTCTGATCAATCTTCTCGTCAAATTCCTCCAAAACTTCTTGACATTTCTTGCAAGTTTGCCTCCTTGTTCAAGAAATCTTCAAATACTGTTGGTGTAAATTCTGGATCTGAGAATAATCTTGTTGCTTCTGTGATGAATTCTAGTTATGAAGAAAACGTTGTGATGCCTCCCGTTCCTTTATTTGTTCGAAACCCCTCGATTGTTGAGATCCCTGCGATCACTCAGTTTCCTTCGATCACTCAATTTTCTTCTTTTGTTCGACTACCATCGACTGGTCTAGCTCATTTGACGAATCAAAATAGAACGATTGACCAAATTCCTTTGAAAGATAATTCTTCTGATGTTTCTAAAGTTCCTATGTCGAATTCTGGTTCTACGAGGGTTTTGTTGGATCCTGCGAAAATAGCAAAGGATGCGAAGAGAGTTGTTTATAACAACGGTGAACCTAGAATGTACTGGTCATTGGAGGAGACTTAGAATTTGTCTGCGAAGTTTCAACAAGCTTTGATTGGGAAATGCGCGTACGAAAAGCCATCTCTGGGGGTTATTCGCGAGTTCATTATTACAAGGTGGAAACCCTAAGGTGAGTTTTTTGTTGGAATATTGGATCCTAGACATATTCTCATCAGATTTGAGTTGTATGAGGATTATGTGCATACCTGGTTGAAAGACGCAACCTATATAGAAGGATTTCTATTTAGGTTTTTTAAGTGGTTTCTGGAGTTCATGCCTGGAATTGAACCATCGATGGTACCTGTTTGGATTTCCTTACCAGGTCTTCCTATTCATCTCTTTAATGTGGAGAGTTTGAGGGATATTTTAAGTCCCATTGGTCGTAAATTGGTGGTTGATAAATCGACTTTGCAGTTGACACACCATGGTGTAGCTAGAGCCTGTGTTGAAGTTAACTTGTTGGCGAACAATCCCAAAAGATTTTGGCTAGATATGGGGGGCTTGAGTGGTCGTTGGCAGAAGACAGTCTTTGAGAAGAATGTGTTATATTGTTCAAATTGTTTGAAACAAGGACATGATAATGGGAGTTGTCGAAAGAAAAAGAAAGATAAGGGTGATATTGTTTCAGTGCAAAATGATGGAAAACCTTCTATTAAAGGGATTCTGGACCTTAAGAAGGATGATAATGGGAAGGGTATTATGATTGAGAAATAAGAAATAAGGGAAAGAAAGTTTTTAAACAAAAGGATGTAATGAAAGAGGTGGAGGTTGGGAATAGATTCAGTATTCTTGAAGAGCAGCAGGAATAGGCTCAAGGTTTGAACGTGGAGGTAGGTGAATGCTCCATGGGAAATATGGATCCTTTTTTACAGAGGGAAGATGTGAATAATAAGGTAATTGAGAATATAGAAATTGATTCTGGTGGAGAGGGCAGGGATGATGATTTGTTGATAAGAGATTCTGATGATGATTTGGTGAGAAATAAAGCACCTCATGATAAGGGGTTATGTTCTGATCAGGAGAGTTCTATGAAATGGGAAAATCTCTCAGATAATATGGAAGGCATTGAAGGGCCTCTGGTTGATCAAGAGGTTGCTAACTCTATTGATTTCAGTCCTTGGCAGATGCCTAGAAGTAATCAATCTATCTCTACCTTTTGATGAATTTTATGTTGTGAAATGTGAGGGGAGCTAGGAAAGAAACTCTGAGAAATAGGTTAAAGAAATTAGTATACATGAATAAGATTGTTTTACTGGCTGTCTTAGAACCTAAGATGGAATCTTCTAAAATTAGAGGATTTGCATCTAGTGTGGTTTGTCTTCGTTTGTGGCTAATTCTCTTGCTGAGAAGAATTTATGGTTGTTATGGAGTGAAAGGATGGAGGTTAAAGTTGTTATGGAGCATGAACAGTCTTTAACAATGACTGTTTCTAATATGGGTTCTTATCCTGTGTTAGTTATTGTTGTCTATGCCTGTTGTGATCATGTGTTGAGGAGGCCATTATGACATCATTTGCACTTGGTTGCTATTTCTTTTGATCTACCTTGGTTAGTGATGGGTGATTTCAATACTGTGATTAACTCTGCTGAAAGATTAGGGAGAGCTTATCCTTCTAATGTTTCAATGAATAAATTTGGGAATTGTATTCATAAAGAAGGTTTAATTGATTGTGGTTTTGAGGGTAGTAGTTACACCTGGTGTAATAATTATCATGGGGTTTCTAGAATGTGGCAGCGTTTGGATAGGGTGCTTATGAATAGTGATTGGGTTACTAAATTTGAGAGTACTCAAAATTTTCACTTGGCAAGAGGTAGTTCTGATCATTGTCCTATTCTAATCAAGGTGGTGGAGTTTGGGGTTCAACAAAGGATTTCATACTTCAAATTTATGGACATGTGGACTAAGGATCTTTCTTTTATGGAGTTACTAAAAGTAAATTGGTGTGGAACGTATTCAAGTAATCCTATTGAAAATATGTGTTTAAAGATGACGTTTCTGAAAGTTAAATTGAAAGAATGGAATAAGAATGTGTTTGGTAATATTTTTGAGAAGATTCAGGCTAAGGAGGTGGAGTTGAGGAATGCTGAGAGGTGTATGGAAGTGGATAGTTCTGTGGATAATCTCAGATCTTTGGAAAATGCTAGAAGACAATTGGAGTTCACTATTAAACTGGAGGAATCCTTTTGGAGACAAAAGGCAAATGTGAAATGGGCATTAGATGGTGAAAGGAGTACTAAGTTCTATTACATTATTGCCAAGAGTAAAGCTGTCAGAGGAAGGGTTAGTATGATTAAAGATGAAGAGGGTGTTTGGGTGGTTACTGAGGAGGAAATTTCTTCTCACGCTGTTTCCTTTTTTTTTTTTTTTTTTTCTAAATTGTATAATTCAAAATCTCATGATTTGCTGGACAATATTTTTGACTCTACTCCTCTTATGGTTGGTGAGGCTGATAGTGAGAAATTGACTTGTGCTGCTTCTATGGAGGAGATAAAAGGAGTGGTTTTTTCAATGTTAGTGGAGAGTGCCCCAAAGGCAGATGGGTTTTCAGGTAAATTCTTTCAAGTAGCATGGGAGATCATTCAGCAGGATGTGTTTGAAGCTGTGAATTTCTTTTTGACTGGTGGGAATGTGCCCAGGTCTGTCAATGCTACTTTGTTAGCATTGATACCTAAGAAGTCTAATCCAACTTCTTTTACAGAATTTTGTCCAATTAGTTTATGTAACTTTTTAAACAAAGTTTTTACGAAATTGTTAGCTAAAAGATTGGTTTTGTTGCTACCTTCATTAGTTTCAAAGGCTCAACATGGGTTCATACAGGGGAGGAGTATTGGAGAATGCATTTCTTTGGCTCAGTTTATGGTAGGAGAGCTTAATAGGAAGGTGGAGGCTGGGAACATTATTCTCAAACTGGTTATGATGAAAGCATATGATAGAATGGAATGAGACTTTATTTAGAAAGTCCTAAGGTGTTTTGGTTTTTCTGAGCTATTTGTGACTATTATTGGTAGCTGTTTTAAAAATTAGTTCTTTTCAATGTGCTTAAATGGACAAAGGCATGGTTTTTTCCCAGCTTCTCGTGGTTTGAGACAGGGAGATCCTATTTCTCCTTTTTGTTCATTCTGGCAAAAGAGGTTCTTAACAGGGGGCTGACTAAGCTTTTTGTTGAAGGGTTGGTGAAGCACTTTCATATTGGTAAAGGGACAATAATGATTTCTTAGCTGTTGTTTACAGATGATACATTATTGTTTCTAAGGGGAAATAAAAGATCATTGGTGAAAAAAAAAAGGAGGTCATTGGTGAAGTTGCTTGAGTTTTTGAGTTTGTATGAAGGTTGTTCTAGGCAGAGAATAAGCAGATAGAAAAAGCTCCTGGATTTGTTCATCCAAAATTCCTCAACACAGAGCTTTAATGTTGTCTAGATTAGTTCGAATTCATATTAAACAATGCCCAATTACTTACTTGGGTTGCCCTTTGGTGAATGGTAGGAGTAGATTGAGAGATTTTGAAGATCTTGTTTTAAAATTCAAAGCTAGAATAAAAGGTTGGCAAGCTAGATTACATACTAACATGGGAAGAGTGGGGATGGTGCAATCTGTTTTAAACTCTGTTCCTGTGCATTTGCTGGCTTGTTTGAATTTGCCTAAAGAAATTCTTTCTAGATTGAATTCTCTTATGGCTTATTTCATTTGGTTTGGTAAGGCAGGAGTAAGGAGGAGGCACTGGGTTTCTTGGCAGAAAGTTGCTAAACCAAAACAGGAAGGGGGTTTGGGGATCAGAAGGTTTGAGGATTTTTAGATTGCTTTTAGATTGAAGCAAATTTGGGGGATATTATAGGGGCAGTCTCTTTGGGCTAAAGTTTTTTCTACAAAGTTTTTGAAAGGGGGTCATGTTTTGAGATGTTCCAGTTATGGCAAGTTGAAGAGCTTTAAAATGCTGCAGCCTTGGTTTGGTATGGTTGTTATGAATTCTTTTTCAGTTGTGGGGGATGAAAGATCAGTGGATTTTTGGTGCTCAAGTTGGTTGGGTTCTAGTCCTTTGTTGCTCAAAATCACTGGGTTATCTGTCTGCTTTCCTAAACTTTCTGAGGTGTATGTTGATAATAGGTGGCGGTGGCAAGTGTTAGGGGATTTTATTAATGATTTAGCTGCTAATGTTTGTTTGTCTAATAGGCTTGATTGTCTGGTCTGGATGCCTAATACTAATGGTCTTTTTTCTGTTAAGTTAGCTTGGAAACTTGTCAAGAAGGGTGGGAGAGTGAATTAGGTGTCTTCTATTATTTGGAAGCTAGCTTTTCCACCTAGTGCTAAGTTGCCAGGATGGAGGTTATTGAATAATGCTATTCCTTTGGATTCCAGGTTCCAATCTATTGGGGTAAGTCTGCCCAGTAGTTGTGCTTTATGCTCTGCTGAAATGGAGACTATTTCTCATTTGTTTGTTCACTATAGTTTTGTTGCTTTAGTTTGGTCTAAAGTAGTAGCTCTATGTGGTTTTCATTTGATTAATAGTGAATCTCCAATAGTTAGAATGGTGAGAATCTTTAAAAAGGGTTCTTTGCATCATGCTCTGATGAGAGGTGTGTCAGTGATAGTGTACTAGCTTCTTTGGAAGGAAAGGTGTAGGAGAGTTTATGATGAGGGTTGTTTATCTCCTCATGCTATTTTTGTAAGAGTTTGTGAGGTTGTGAGGATGCCTGGACTGAAAGGGGAAATGAGGTTTTGCAAGCTTTGGGGATTGAATATGTTCAGAAGATTTAGATTATTGCTCTGTGGGTTAGATGGTTTCCTCCTTCTTATGGTAAGCTAAAACTCAATATTGATGGAGCTTCTAAAGGTAATCCTGGTAGGGCTGGGGGAGGAATAGTAGTCAAAAATCGTAGAGGTAAATTGATACTTGCTGCTTCCTTTTGCTATGGTGGCTGTTCAAACATGGAGGTAGAGTTAAGGGCTCTAATAGATGGTCTGGTTTTATTGGAGAGGTATAACTTGTTGGGTTTTCAGTTTCAAATTGAAACTAACTTTGAGGTCATGGTGCGGATGGTCTTGAAAGGACATCATAGAGCTTGGAAATTATGGGGTTTATTGAGGCGGATTTTGGAGGGTTTGGACTGCTTGGAGTTCAGTTTGCAACATGTTTTCCCTTCCACAACAGTGACCCATGAAGTTAGGATGGGGTTTCACCACTTTCAACTTGTGATTGATCTAGAATTAAATGCAAAAAAGGTCCCCCACCTATTTAGATTTGAATGTATGTGGTTGGAGGACTCAGAATGCGAAGAGGAGCTGAAGTGTAATTGGACTAATAGTCATCTTGGATCTGCCATGCAAAATGCTGTCAGCAATCTCAACCTATGCAGGGTCCGATTGACAGAATGGAGCAGACAAAAATTTGGGAATAACAAGAAAATTATCCACCCGCTGAACAACGATTTAATTCAAATTCAGATGCAAGAACAAACAGAGGAAAACTTGATTAAAGAACTGAACTTTGTTCCCAAATTGATGCTGTCAGAAGTAGAAAAGAGAGGTACTGGCTGCAACACTCTAGAATCAATTGGTTGAAAGATAAGGACCAGAATACAAGATTTTTCCATCTGTCCACAATCCAAAGACGTAATCGGAATTAGATCTTGAGGTTGAAAACGGAGGAAGCTGTGTGGCTTGAAAGGAAGGAGGACATCAATTCCCATATCATCGACTATTTTCAAAAATCTGTTTAAAACAATGGGGGAGAGAAATTGGTCTGAGGCCTTGGATGCGTTGAAAGCAAAAGTATCTGAGGAGATGAACCAAGACCTGATGAGAGCCATTTCGAAGAAAGAGGTGCAGGATGTAGTAAAAGAATTGGGAGCTCTTAAAGCGCCTGGACTTGACGTTTTTCTTGGCATTTTCTTCCATAAGTTTTGGAATATTGTGGGACTGGATGTCGTTAAGTTGGTTAAGGATTTCTTTGAGAGTGGTCAGATGACTAAGGACCTAAACCTCACTGATGTTGTCCTCATCCCAAAAGAGGATGCACTTGAGTCTATAACACAGTTCTGGCCCATTGCATTATGCAATTTCTTGTACAAGGTGATTTCAAAGGTAATGGCAAATAGGATGAAGGGAATGTTAGGTTTCATCGTCTCACCTAATCAAGCGGCTTTGGTACCAAATAGACAAAT